GTCCCCGGTCGCAGGGATGGAGGGATGTGGGGCACAGCGGGGTTTTCGGCGTCCTCGGGACGGGCAGCAGGTGAAACCGGCTTCTCGGGAGCTTTTCCAAGCTGCTCTTTGCCGAGACACCCGGAGGGTGAAGGGGGCAGGGAGGCCCATGGACCCTGCGGGCCACCGGCTCATTCGCCTCTTCTCCCTTCCCCCGGCAGCGGTGTCCACCTCTGTCTTCATCGTGGCGATCCTCATCCTCCTGCTGCTCCTCTACCACCGGGACCCCATGTGCTGCCAGTTCCTCTGCTCTTGCCGCTTCTTCCAGACCCCCAGCCAGTATGTGAGTGTCCTCTCTCTCCTCCTCCTCCCCGCGAGTCCCCCGCTGCCTCCCGAGCCCTTGTTCCCTTGCGCGGGGGTCTGCAGGACTGCATCGCCGCGCTCCCCTCCTGCAGCCTGGCCAAGCTCGCTGATGGACGTGGGACCTCCGAGCAGAGACGGGCTCTGCTTTCTCCTTATTCCCGCTCTACCTAAGAGATCCAACCACCCAAGCCTGCCTGGCTGTGCTGTTGGGGGTAATATCTGCAAGTCCCGGCACTGGCAGGTTCCCCAGCTCCCCACGCAGCTCAGGAGGGGTGTCCTCCTCCCCCGCCACAGCCGCGTCGGGCTCTGGTTTACAGGGAAAGGGGCCGGGGGCTGGAAGCTCAGGGCAAAGGCAGACAATGCTGCTCGCTACCGCTCGCATCCCCGGCAACTGGCTCTCTTGTGCACAGCTCCCAGGCACCGAGCAGCGAGAGACAAAGCCCTTTTGCTTCCATCTGTAATTTCCTGGGGCTGGCTTTTAAGTGGAGAAGCTGGTGATGGAAAAAGAGCAGCGTGTGCTGCCAGCGCTGCCTTTGTGGTGGTGGCCGCCTGGGGAAAGCTCGGCTTCCAAAGGCCACAGGGATGGCTGCTTGGGGAGGGGCTGACGGTGCCGAGTCCCTGGGAGAAGAGGGGACATCCCGCCTCAGCCAGCTGGGGATGGAGAGACTTGTGCCACAAAAGGCAAATCCAATAGTCCAGCACAGGCTGGAAGACCCCAGCAGAAATCACGGTGGGAATGGGCTGCGCTGGTGGTGTCTCCTGCCTGCTTGGCCGCATCCACTCCTTTCCCTCTCTTCCTCTCCGCTCCCTGCCTGTGGCCGTGTTGAGGAGAGGGCAGGGATGCCATGCTCCTCGCCCTGCAGAACAGCTCCCCCGGGCTGTGCGGGACACGCCGTGAGTTGCAGAGCTTTTGCTGTGCTCGAGCCTGGCTCTCGGGTGGGTGGTTCCAGGAGAAGGCATCTTGCCTTTAGCAAAGGGCTGTGCGGACAGATGGATGTGGATGCGAAGAACTATATATGGAAAGGGAACGTATCTAGGATGTATTTCCATCAGAAAAAGTGAAGCGGCTGTAGTGGTGTGAGGCAGCTTTCAAGTAGTTGTGCTGGTTTTGCTAATCAGTTATTAAAACAAATAGTTGCACCCCCAGCCAGCCTCGTTTCCTGCAGCTTCTGTGATTGCGCTGTAGGGCCGAGACAAACAGTTCCTCAGTCGCTAAGAGCAAAAGTAAATCTGTCATTCCTAGTTCCCCCTGCGAATCCCTGGTTGCTGTGGGAATCTGTTTTCTGATGTCAGAGATGGGGCTTTTCGGAGACCGAGGGACGGCCTGCAGCTCGAGTCCTGGCTCTGGCTCGAGGGGCTGCTCTCTGCGAGAGGGATCCCTGCAGTTGCTCAACACTTTGATGGAGAATCGAGTTTTAACCGGAGCAAGACTGTTGGGGAACAGAACAGTTATCACTCTGCAGATTTGCTTGCTACATTATGCTGAAATTACTACCTCGGTAGATAAGCATTTACAAATTCTGTAACTCTGAGCATGTGACGGAGCTCTTATCTACACTAGTGGAATAGTTGGGTTGTTTTTTTGTTGTCCCTTGAAGAGAGATGGTTCTGCTGAGTCTGAATGAAACCCTGCTCTGGGGCTGCCGTCCCTCCGACTGCGCTGCGTAGCGGTGCCGCCTGGCCCCGGCTCTTTGCCTGCCTGCACTGCCCTGTGAGGATGTGCCCGAGCTGTCGGCGTCGGTGGCAGGCAGGCAGAGGTTGGCTACCAGCGGCGAGAGCCGTGTGAGCCAAATGGGCAGAGGTAGCGGCTCTCCCCCCTTGCCCGGAGTCCCGCTTCCCAGGCTGGCCTGGGTCAGCTGGCTGAGCTCCACTCGCCGCCCAGCGGGATGTGAGGGATTTGGGCTTTGATGTGAGGGATTTCGGCTTTGTTCACGTCCTCCTTCCTGACCCCTCGTTACAGGACTGCCCCCCACCCTACTTCAGCAGCAGCCAGCGGCTGGTGGGTCCCCAGTGCGGAGTGTCACGGCTGGAGAGCGGTGCTGAGAACGCCGGCGTGCAGGTGATGGATGGGTCCCCAATGGGAGCTGAGGGGGGGAAATGGTAGCAAAAATCCTGATGATTTTGGGAAGAAGCTGTGGTTATGGGAAGCCAGGGAGCTCTTGGGGCATAGGGAGAAGGTGCTGGAGAGCAGGAGCAAGTTTGGGAAGTGCTGCCCGTATGTAAAAATCTGCAGGGGAGGGCCAGGGATGCTGCAGAGGACACTGGTGCCCTGAGGGGTGTGGGCATGAAGTGCCAGGCAGGTCCCCCGGGGCTTGGGATCTTGCAAAGTGGGTTGTGGTGGAATTACCTCCTGGGACGGGGGATTTAATCTCTCGGGGTTTGAGGAAGGACACCCACAACTTCGAACCCTGAAATAACTTGAAGTGGCACCAGCCCATGAACTTCCAAGCTAGGAGAGCCGCTGCCACGCTGACCTTTCTCTTCTGGGGTGGGCATTTCTAGGGAGACGAGCTCTTCTGCGTCGGACCCCCCAGCAGCTACCAGCTCCCTTCCTGGGAGCAACCCCGCTTGCCGAGCTACGAGAGCGTGCGGAAGAAAGATCGCCAGCGGGAAATCCATCAGATGATTGCCGAGAGGTTTGGGCTGTGGGCAGAGCCATCCCAGGAGGTGAGCTCTCCCTCCCCGGCACGAAGGTGCTGGCAGAGGCAGGGGGGCAGTCCCCCCTCCGGTCTGTATCTGGGTTTTGCTTCAGCAGTTTGCAGTAGCTAAGGACTCTGTTCTCTGCGATTGCCTTGCTCTGATAGCCTTTATCTCTGGGAAGGGCACAAAGTGTACCAGGAGGCTCCTTTGGTGTACATCTGTGCTGGTTAATGATCGATCTCTCCCAGTGCGTTTGCAGAAATGCCCGTGCCGGGAGGCAGGGTAGAGCTGCTGCTGAAAGGGCAGGAGGCCCTTCGGATCATCTGCTTGGTACAAGCCCAAGCTGGGAATGTTATTTTTAGATCTGTAAGGCTTCTAAGGTTTCTTGCTCCTTTCTCCCTGCAGGACACCTCCTGGGAGGTCCCTCGCTATTGCCTTGAAGTGTTTATGGCTTATTTATGAGCAAGAGGCTTTGCCTGTTACGACATTTAAGATTTGCACTCCCACAATAGAATAGAGAAAAGCGAGTGCATCTGCCAAGTAGGTCCTGCGGCAGCGGCCCAAGAAACTCCTGTTGAACAAAGGAGCCCTCATTGACTAAAGCAGAACAGAAACATTTGAAACCTGAGTAGAGCACTAAAGGTTCATCGGTTTACCTGGATTTTGGGTTCCTAAAGCTGGACCATAAAGTTTGGCATAGTCAGCACTTGCCGCTCGGTGTTTGGAGCTGTAACTCATGATACCTGCCCTGAAACCAGAGCACCAAGGGCAGAGGAGAGTAAAGGCCCCAAGGACAAGTAGTTGAACTGCAATGGCAGCCCTTCCATAACATCCCTGTGCCACTCCTGTCACATTACAGGGACAAAGCTAGCCCAGCTCTGCCAAAATAAACGTAGCAACAGCCCGGAGGTTCCTCTCCGCTGCTGTGCTGGCTAACAAAACTTGGGCAGACGACCTGGTATGAAGGTGCTTGTATAAATCTCAGTAATCGATCCTTGGTGAAAGGAAAACCAACAACAGTCCCGTTTTAACAAAAGTCACAAGGCCAGAAGAGACTTGACAAGTCCTTGAAGGGGGACAGGGAAGAGCAGGGACCTGGCACAGAATAGGGGCGGGGAGCAGGGGGGAATGTGCCTCTCCAGTGGATCTCTGCCCCGCCGCATTGCAAACCAGTGCTGAGCACTCCTTTTCCAGGCATTCCTCTGGCCAGCAGCTCGCTGCTCTGAGGACTGCAGGAGCTGAAGTTCAGGCGGTGGTGGTTGTGAGCCTTGTCACCCGCTCTGTAAGAAGAGGTGGGATAATCTCCTGGTTATTTCTGATTAGCCGTAATGCTCTTCCTTTCTCAATAGATGCCACCTCCCTACGAGCATGCTCTGAGGCATCCTCCAGCTTTCTCAGGAACAGTAATAAGCTCGGAGACCTTGGACAGACGTGGTGTGCCAGACCCTTTCCAGGCTCCTCTCAGCTACCAAACTCAGCGAAACACAGATGTGTAAGGCCCCGGCCTCCGCACACTGCTTCTTCCTGTGGTGTCAGCGACAGAAGTGCCTGTGACATCGTTCTCGTCCGCAAGGAGCGGCCGAACCTCAGACCTCCACCCAGATTCACGATCAGCAGAGACACAGGCAGGTCAGACCCCGCCAGCGGAGACGTCCCTCCCACAGCACCAGGACAATCACGGTGCCACTCGCCCTTCTCTGGCAAACGTACTGTTACCAAAGGCAACGGATCAGCTGCTTCTACACAGGGGGCAAAGCCAAGGTGAAGGTCTGCTCAGCCAGAGCTCCTCCAGGCAGCTGGTGTACCATACCTCCGTGAGGCAAGCGCTGCCCGGCATGCCAAGGATCAGACCTCAGACAGTGGTCGTCTTGTGCTACTTCACTTATTTCTTAGGTTATAAAATGTTTTACTTTATCGGTGTATCAGATGATAGCAGGGGGGAATCCTCACCTGTGAGGAGCAGAATGAATCTGCATCAGAGCATCGCCCTGTGCTCCCACAGCAATGGTCCTCTGTGACTGAAAGCAATTTTGTGTGGACTTCAGATAAAGATTTGGAGAGGGATCAGGGGTTGTGTCACCTGCTGTACGCAAATACCGACCACCGAGATGAACTCTGTGACTGAATATGCAAGCTGGGAAAGGACAGGAGAAGCATGGACAGAATAGCTGGTGATCTCCATGAAGGACGTAAAGCAAAGGTGGACACGCGTGGCTGACCCTGTTTACCTAGTTGTCTTCTGCAGAGCAGACAATCTAATAATACTGACACTGGTGTCCTTACACCACCAATTTTGATAACCTGTTTTCTACTGCAGAGCCAATGTTTCAAATTGTTTACAAACATGTAGATAAAGTGAGATCAGTTTGGCCACAGGGTATTTGGGCTCCTTTCTTTTGAGCAACATAAGCTCAAAAATGTCACGGAATGACTCGGAGAAGACAAAAGGAAAAGTCTTCAGGATTACGGCTTTATGATACGCCCCCAGCCGCTGAGCTCCAAATACCACCCCAGACTTGTGCATCTTACCAGGCATCCTGAAGTTAGTCATGAGCTCGCTTCATGAGCATGAACTTGCCTCACGTGGCTAGTAAATGGAACACTTTCAGATATTTTAGATATTTGAGTTAATCATTGAGGTGAGTTAGAAGGAAAAATCTAGCTTCCTGAGATGCAGAGTTAGGTGCAAGTGGAAAAGGATCTGTCCTCTCCTGCAGTATTTTGAATTAAGATACAAATAGAACAGTAACGTCTAAAAATGAGTAAAAATAGCTAGAGGTAATTATTAGTGGTACAAGTACCGACATAAGAGTGATTGCAGAGAGAACTCATCCAGTGGCACAATGGAACAGGTTCTCTAGAGGAAGTCTGCTCGATACTAAATGAACATAAGTAACACATTTTATGAACAGTCAAGACCTTCAACAGCCCCACAGTGTTTATTAAATACTCTTACAAATACCAGCAGGTGACCCCAGTGCCTGAACACTGACCAGGTGTGCTTTAGGAGCAAGAAAACAAAGTCCTAAACTGGTGTCTTCCGAGCTAGAATATTCCTGTCCTCGGATGCCAGTCCAACTGGAGTCGTCTGTCCCAGCTGCTCCTTCCCATCCATCCTTATGTGACGCGGGAGGCTCAGAGCATGGTGACCAGTTTAAAACTCCCTACTTCTGTAGTAGGGACAACATTGATAAAAGTTTTATAAAGAATTGCTCCTTTGGGTAGACAACAGATCATCTCCCTGCTCTCGGTGCTTCGGGGCAGAGGTACATAGACCTCTTTGGTATATCTCACTATCCCATCCTCCAGGGCATAGAGTGTCTTGTTACGGCCCATCCCCACCTGGAAGAGGATGAGAAGTGTTACAAAGGAAAGGCTGGAGGTCCACCACTAAAGCAGATCCGATCATTGGTCTGCCTTGTTTGATAGCCTGGCTTCAACAGCATCTGTTGCTTTGTATTTTAAAATAAAAGAAAACCACACTATTTGCTTCCAGCAATCAGTATGCAATGGTGCTCACTACAAGGCAGGAGATATCGATTCCACCCTGAAGCACAAGCACCCAGTTAGGTTACAGACGTGTTTGGGGATATCCACAACTTTCCGTCCTCTCCTCAGTCACATGAGCACAGGTGTGACTCTGAGTGGGCTCTGTGACTAAGAAATACCGGGTAACGAAACCCAATTTCAAGATTATATAGAGCATAGGGAAGAGCATTAAGAAGGAGCCTGAAAGAGAGGAGGCACTGAGTACAGGACTTATGGGCTGCTGTTCTCTGACGACCAAAGAAGAGATGGAAAAACAACTTACATGAGCCCCTGGATGCCAGCGTATCAACCGCTGTGTCGCCAAAATGTTGCCTGCATGCACAAATGCCCCTGCAATAGAGTGACAGAGTCAGACTGCAGAGAAACAGAGCTCCCCGAAGCCCTGGCAGAACACAAATGGTTCCAGGACTTAAAAACCCCAGCTTTCTGTGGGAATTTTCTAAGGAAAAATGACTTCGAATGCTAAAAGCATCTAAACAAAAATGCTGTTAACAGGAAATAAAGGGCAATTGATATATAATAGCAAAAAGCAATTCTAGTCTTTGAAAATATTACTTCTAAGGTACAAGGCATTTTCTAGTTACTGAAGGCATTTGTTTTATTGCCTTTTACACCAATATGTTTTCATCAGGAAAGCTAATAATTATTAAGTACTCAGCTGCAAGAATCTGTACTTTGGCATCTGCTAAGCCTCATAATTCTCCCCTTTGTAAACATCCAAACGCCCAGCTTTTCAACACAGCGTGGGGGGAAAGTGCACTTAAGTTATTAGGTGTCCCACAGCGTACCCTCCTCCCAGGCATTCCAGAAAGGCAAAGTTAGAATCAAAGTTCGTCTTCTGTAAGCAATTTCGGCTGGCCACTCGCAGGCCCATCTGGGAGGGAGGCTGACTCACGCTGCCCTCCCACCAGCTACTCTGGATCACAAGGTTTCGCTGAACCTCCCCTTTCCTTTCTCTTGGAAGAGCACCCCTGCGACCTCCTCCTGAAATGCTCAACAACTAACACCCATAACAGGGGAGAAGCTGTGAAGAACCCAATGAAATGCAGATTAAGACTCAGTGGATACTCAGACCTACCTTCTACTTTTTTGAATCCATAGCGTTTCCCAGGGCTGCGGCCACCTAAATTTTTTGAGCTGCCCCCACTCTTCTTAGAAGCACATCTGACAGCAACCAGGCTTGTTTGGGGAGTAGTTAGAACTAGGTTGGGAGCAAGAACAACAACTGTCAGCTGAAAAAAACCCTATTACGCACACTTTCTTTTTTTTTCAGATTTAGAAGATGTCAGTTAAGACAGGCTTTCAAACTAAATGCAAAAGTAAGCCCTGGGGAAAAAAAAAATTACTTCCAAGACAACTCATAATTAAACTACCATGGCCTAAGTCCCCTGCAAAGAGACCACATCTCAAGTGCTGCTGCTGCCAGGGAGGAACGAAACTCTTGGCAACGATGTTAAAGGACATGCCCAAATTCCTGTTTCAGCAAGGCCTTGTACAGTGAGGTACAGACATTACTGGGTGCTTTGGATTGGCCTTACATTGCTTTGAGAAAAGACAAGTTGTGATCTCTGTTTCAGTTTCCCCTTCAATCAAATGGCATTTACTTACACAATAACATTTTGAAATCTTACAAACGAGAAGAGTCCAACTCAGGACAATGTATAAGCATATACAGAATCGCGATCCTGAACATACTAATTGAAGCACTTTGTGCAAATCTTTGAGTTACAATCAGGACAAGTCAATGAAAAAAATCAGTTATTAAGGACACCGAGTGTCTCCGGAACACAAAATATTATTCACACCACAAACTTCCTTAAATAAACAAACAAGACACTGACAGAAAACACTGGTTTTCTTATCAAGAAAGGTGACCCTCTAGTGAACTTCTCTCTGTAAAAATTAATTGAGATATAATTAGTTCTTTTTAAAAAACTGTTCAGTACCTCCTTTCATGCAATTAGCAGCCAAATCCAATTTTTCTGAATCCCTCTATTCAACCTCTTAAGCAGCAGGTTAGTACGGAAAAGCAGTTATCGTAACATTCTTCTTTTCTTATCCTGAGTAAAACCACTGGATTAATTTAATCTTAATTAAATTATTACAGATACTTAGTGAGCTAGAAATACTATTGAGAAAAGAGAAATTACTCTATAAAGAGACATTAATTTCAGGAGCTAACCCATTAAGTAAAAGAAAGGCTCTGAGACTTGACAAACTACAGGGAAGCAGGCTAAGATGAACGAGAGTTATGGTTTCATATACACAAATTCTACAAAGTTATAGTCCAATTAACTTTTATAAAAAAAAAAAACCTCCAACAGGTTGATTCCAGGGTTATATGTGGCGTTGCATGAAAGAAGCTTGCTAACAAAAAAACATGAACCTCAAAGCATCAAACTTGCAGGGAAAAGCAGTTATCTAGAGAAGAATGAGACAAAGTTTGTAATTTGACTGAAGTCACGTTGGCAATCAGTGGAAAAACTTCATCATTCTGATGTTCCACCAAAGAAACTATGAGGTTATTTATGCCTGTAACACTTCTAGATTAAAAAAGGGCATTTTTAAAGCCTCCTGACTATTGCACCACACAAGAAGAGAGCGGCACCCCTTGCTGGTTGGTCTCTACCTAGCGCACATGAATACTGTTTTTCCAAAGATAGTTTTTTTCACCTTGAGGGCAGTCAAGCAGCAACACAGAGTTTGTGCACTCCCTATCCCTGGAGGTTTTCCAGTCCAAGGAGGATAAAGCCCTCAGCACCTCGGCCCCAGGTCACGCTATAAAACACCTGAGGCCCCTTCCCACACGATGCGGTAGGGCTAAGGCCTGAAACCCTCCCCATTTCACCACAGCCCCGCCTCAACCGAGCCGCCACCTGAGGTAAAAGCGAAGACCTCCATCACCGAACTATCGGCAGTGATCTCCCCCTGGACCACCCCTTCCATCGGCCGGACCCCTCTCCCCACCCCACCCCACCCCACCCCACAGAGGGATAAAGCTGGAGGGGAGGTGGGGGGGAAGAATTAACCCCCCTCACTCACACAGACGTCGCAGCGCCGCCATTTTCTCGAGTGCCTCTTCCGGTGGGAGGGCGGGGCGCGCGCGGCTGGCGGCGCGCCGGTCTTGCTCCTTCCCTCAGGCGCCCGGGCTTTACCTCAGGGTAAAGCGGGATGGCGGAGAGCGGGCCGAGGACTGAGGAGAGCGATGAGGAGCTGCCTACTTTAGCCTCCCTGCTGCAGCCCTCGCTATCGTCGCTGCCGCCCAGCAGGTTGGGCCACCGGCTGTCCTCGTCTCCCGCTCCCAAGCGGCCGAGGGCGACGGGGCTGGTTGTGGTGAGCAGTGGGAGCGAGGACGAGGAGGAGGAGGTCGTCCCTCTGCCCGAGAGGATCAAGAGGAGGGCTTTGGAGCACCCCTACCCGGGCGGTGGGGATGCAGCAGGGGGAGCTGGCCTTTGCGCTAGCGGTGACCTGTTGGCACCTGGCAGCAGAGGGCCGCAGGATGCCCTGGTGTCGTCTGGAGATTTGTCTTGTGGCAGCCAAAAAGCGAGGGGTGATGCTGAGAGGCCCTCCTTGTGCCCGCTGCCAGCCTCTCAGTCTGACTCTGCAGACCAGCCTAGTATGCCCGTGGTAAGCGGAGCAAGCCCAGAAACATCCCCCCCTCCCAGGAAGTCAAAATATAGTCAGAAGGAAAGGGAGGCGATCTGCCAGGCTGCGTGGCAGAGGAGGAAGGAGCGAGAAGCACAGAGGAGGCAGCAGGAGCAGGAAAAAGAGAGGAAGAGGGCCCTTGCCAGGATGCTGAAAGCTCAGCGACCAGGGGAGTGCCAGAAGTACATAACAGTGGTACTAGATCCAGGTACATGTCCTCACAGCTTTTATCTGCCTTATATTGACTCTCAGTTCTTGCTGCGGAGGCCTGACACGCGTCAATTTCAGTTCTCTTACAGGTAGAAGGTGGTGGACAGATCCTTAGTGCTTTGCAGACTGCAAATTATTCCTGTGTGGTTGAGAGTCAGGCTGTTCCCTGCAGCATCACCTGGAGGCGAAAAAATGTGTCATTTCAGGTGTGCAAGCAAAATCTCAATGTTCTTGCCCTTTTATTCCTGTTATTTGTACTCATTAGTAATTGTATTTAGCAACACAAGTAAACACCCTCTGATCTTCTCCCTGCCTCAGAGGTCTGAGTGGGAGCACCATTGAGTGAGTGAATTATAAACAGGCTGTTGGTGTGGCTGTTTGTTTTTTGGACAGGTGGAAAATGGAGATGAATGGACAGAAGAACCAAATGTCCTGATTCTGCTTTGCTTGGAGAAGTTTTTGTCCATGGTTCACAACTACAAACAAGTGAGAATGTTTATGACTTTTGTGCTCTCAAACATGCCTTGCTGTAAGGGGGGTGTTTGTCATCCCCCTTATGGGGGGGGACAGGAAGGTTTTGATGTGGGATGGCAGGAAGGTTTTGATGTGGGATGGAGCCATGGTTTCAGTAAGCCAGAAATCTGGCTTTAGAAGCCATTAGTGGATCAAAACCACTAGGGTTGTATAATGCAGAGTTCTGACAAATTTTCTTTCCTAGTTACAGTTTTTCACAGATTTTTTAAGAGGTAACATTGTCAGATCAAGTGGGATTATTTTTTATATATTTCTGCCATAACTTTATACTAGACCAATATTGCCTGCTTGCCCCTGAAGAGCCATGTGAACAGACTTTTTCATCTGCAGACCCAGCTGCAGAATCAGAGCCGTAGATTGCTGCGCTTGCATGTGTGACTCGGAATGGTTTAATGCCCTTTTTCTGTTGATCTTTGCAGGAGGCCAAGGGCTGTACGGCAGGACAGAAGGAGACCCTAGAGAGCTATGTAGATCACGTGATGGAGAAAATGCCTGGAAAAATTCTGGCACTGGCAGTAGCTGAAGTAGAAAATTATTTCAGGTTAATTTTTTTCCCCTCCAGACATTTCTATGTCATCTCTAGCCTTGAAAAAGGCTTGCCATAGGTGTTTACATTAATTGCTTCTAGCAAAGACTGGAGTATAAGAGCTATTCCCACCCAGAACTGCTCCGCTATTTGTTATACAGAAACAAAAGCAAAGGTCCATCCGGCCTGTCACCACAGTGACCAATGGCAAATACCTGGGGAGGAGCATGAACTCCCAGTCTTACTTTACTCTTCTTAGGTCTCTCACAGCTCAGTCAAAAAAGAGGCTGCAACAGGCAGCAGCGAGTGGAAACCAAGAAGAGGAACAGGGGAAACGGAGAAAAAAGAAGGTTAAAGATTCTGACTTGGAGATAACCAGAATGGATGTGGAAGAAGTGAGTACCTTTAAAACAGGCATATAGCCATTGTCTCTTATTGTCTGCCATTGTTTTAACATTTGACCCAATCACATGCTTTTTTGGACGGGGACATTCAGCCTTCGTTAGTCCATGTGTCTGTGGATAGAGCTCTTTGGATTCAGTTCGCTACTGTTCGGGTACGTACCTGCTCTCCCAGACTGACACGTCTCGTTCACCTTGATCCTGGGCAGTGAAACGGCAGTCTTAGTCAGCATCTCTCACCCTTCGTGGCCTGCTGGCAAAGCACGTCAGTGCTGCCCTGGGCTGGGTGCACTGTGTGCAATGAGAGCCTGCTACTGAGGAGCTTCAGCAGCTGAAATGGCGCTAAACTGATATGAACTGACAGGAGACAGGCTGCCCCTAAATACTTCAGTGCCTTAAATGAACTGTTCCCAAAATGGGGAGAGAGTGGATGTTCTTGTCCGATAGTTAGATGTTGTGACCCTTTTTTGTTTCAGACAAGAGTGGGGTTTAATGTGAGAAGACCAATTGTTACATTTGTTGTTTCCAATAACGTTTACAGGCCTTGGCAGATCTGCAGGTGTGCAAACAAGTTCAAGTCAGCTTGTTTGAGAGCTGGGAGGAGCTAGGAGAGTTTGCCACTATGTTCACAAAAGCTGTGGCTGAAGCACCATTCAAGTGAGTAAGCAGATGAGGTTTGGTCATATCTTTGGAGAGGCTGCAATTTCACAGTTACTGGGAGGGAATAGCAGGTACACAGCTGTACTTCTGTACAACACAGTATAATGATTTTCAAAGGGGCAGGCGACACAGAGCAGCTGTTAATGCAGCTCCTTCAGCACAGCGTTACCTTTTGGAAACTGATGTCCTGCCTGGGGAGGGGTGAGCACAGACCCTGGTTTCACATTGGAGTCTTGACATCACGTAAAGCTCTTCCAGTCTGACGTTAGGAGTAGGAAGGGAATGCAAGTAGGGTTGGGCTCTTACAGCACCAGCTTTTCTTCTTCGGTATGTAACCAAGAGAGACGTTACTGAGAATGAACCATTTAGCTGCTTCCATTGATAAGGAAGGATGGCAGCATGTTGCACAGCGATAGCTTTCTTAAGCCATCTTGTGCAGTCTCACACAATCCAAGCATTCCTATCACAGCAGCTGCTGTACTTCACGTCGTTAAAAATGACATGTAAAAGTGGTTTTTTTATGGTTGACAGTCAGAAAGTGAATTCTTCTTTACCACTTTGTGTACGTGTTGGCTTGTGACAGGATTGCCTCCAAGTACAGGACTGTTTCTTTTTCAGTAAGAAATTTGCATCTTAAACAAGGAAATTGGTAATACATGTAAAGAAAATAAGGTTAAAATTTTTAGCATTGACTTTGGTGCCAACGGAGTCTATAACAGCATGGAGTGAGAAATGGCGCTCTGTCTCTGGCTACATGACAATAGATGCAGGAATAGGATTTTCTTTATAGCCTCATTGTCTCATTTGCTTTCCCATCCTTTGTGCTCCCTAGGCGAGAGCGAGAGAAGACAGGGTTCTCTTTCTACGTAGAGAAGGGGTCATGCAGAGGGGTGAAGGTGGATCGTTCCGGAAAGGGTCTCTTGGAAGTTTGGAAGAGGCAGATACAACAATTTAACCGTGTCAGCCGCGAGATGGCTGAGGCTATTGTGTCTGCCTACTCTTCTCCTCTGCTTCTGACCCAGGTAAGGATGCCTCGGGAATACCGAGTACTGTGTGCAGGCAGCCAGCTAATGTAAGGAGTGGAAGAAATAATTCAATTGGTATTAAATTTGGCACAATGATTCTGTATGAGCTGTTTAGTAACGCAGGGAAGGAACTGATTGCTTGGCACCCATTGCTTTGGCTTTACAGAGCATACTACTGAGGGAGCAGTATTGGTTCTGCATCAGCCTCTAAGCTCACAAATGAGATCTGGGGAGAGACCAGGTGAAAAATGAACATACATTGTGAAAGGGTAGAGCAGTCATGGGTGCATAGCTTTGATTATTTTTTTTAAGCAGTGGATGCAAATGGATGATATCATTGTTCTTTTGCGTTGCTTTTAGGCCTATAGCAGATGTTCCTCAGAGCAGGAGCGGGAAAACATGCTGGCTAATATCCCTGTGCACCGTGGTGATGGTGTGACGGCCACCTCCCGGCGGATCGGACCAGAACTCTCCCGACGAATCTATCTGCAGATGACTTCCCACGATCCTAATCTCTATTTGGATTTCACTGGGTAGCCCCAGGCGATGAGGATTTTACTGTTTGCTTGGCTTAAGTATTCAGCTTCCTTCTGGGAAGAAGTGCTGAGACAACAGAGTCATTGATTCTGGTTTAAAGACTTAAAACATATTTAAATTTTGTTGTAGCAGAAGAAGGTTGGATAAAAATTGCTGATTGGCCGGAGTTTACACGAGAAAGAGGGTGAACATCCTCCATAAGAGCATGAGTTGGACACAGCTTATAGTACTGATAGTTCCTTTTATTTGTCTTCCTAGAAAATAACTAACTTTGAATAATAATAATAATGATATTTGCTTCTTAATATGCTGTCTTGAATATAGACAGGTATGTAATCTGTTGAAAGGAATGCTTTGTACTGGTATCCTAAACTGCAAGTAGTTATCTTCTCCCTCCAGCGTGAGAAATCCTAATGCTAAAGCAACGTGGTGCTGCCCCCCTAGCACCTGCTCTAGTGAGGTGGAGGAACTTTACCTCACAAAATAGACTCTCAATTTTCCGCTGTGGCAGATGGGAATGAGTAAGACTAATTTTCAGATATAAATTTAGACTGCCCTGATTCAGTCTCCAGACAGCTTAATCTATAGAAGGTCTTGAAATCTGATTATATGCACTGGAATTATGAGGTCTAAACAGTTGGCAGAAAAAGCTTTCTTTTAATTAGATTGAGGAACACACTTGCCTGTCCATGAAGCCATTAGCACTTGTGTGCACACAAGGACAGTTGAGGTCTTTTGCAACAGCAGCACTTACTGAGATGAGTCCTGAGAATGAATTAAACGGCATCCAGTGCGGGGACATCACCCTTTGGAACCATGCTGCCTCGAATGAAAACACGCTCATCCGTTATGCTGGCTTTGGGCATTCGGCAGGAGCCCTTGCCTGGCCAGGAGCACGCTTCTGACCTGAACTTACAAATCTTACTAGCCTGGCATTTGCGAACGTAAGCAGCGCTCTCCTAGATAGCAAAGCAGCAGAGTCCTGCCTTCCACAGATCTCCTCTACCAGCACACTCCACAATACTAGGAATATCCCTTTCCAGTGTCCCATTTTCCACCTCTATTACAATCTTTCCTTAAAATTCCCTTTAGATTGCCTCCCTAAAACTAGAATCTCTTACCATTTACATATACACAATCCTGGACTTCTCACCTTGCACTTTTACAATAAGTGTAAACACCGCTTACAAATTTCTCTCAGAATGATGTGTTACCTTTCAAAGGTTTCCTTTAAGGGGTTACTTCCCTGGGCTACAGTCCACTCTTCAGGAGGTGGAACTACTGGCCCTTTTAACATGCACCCACCCTTTTTCCAGGGGGCTGTTTGAGGTAATAATCCACACCTTCTTAAGTCTGTAACAGATTGGATTATCCCCCACAGATAATTTTTAAGATACACATCATTAATCTCGGGGATTGGTACACCTTCCTCTCTTCCCAGATACTGGAGAGCAAACAACACTTCATACGGACACGCTCTTCAATCTTTAACAATGCTAAAGGCAAGCATTTGGTCCATGGTAGCTTGGTTTCTACTATCAGTTTGCATTCATTCTCTTGACCCTGCTTTGAGGATGCCGGGGGGCTGTGTGGCGTATCCCCAAGGCTGTGCATACTAATCTCATTATATCCTTCCTTACTTTCTGGCAAATTCATTTACTCCCAAACATCCACGAATTTCTCAAAAGTTGGTCACACAAAACTTGAGTCCCCCAATAAGTTTCAGAATGTCTCCCATCCCGTAGGACCCACTTGCCTTCCTGGGTTTTTACACACCCCATCTTTTGGAGAGATTTAAAATTCACGTTTCAGCATTTTTTTCTAGAGCCACTTCTTTTGCCTGGTCGTCAGCCAACCTATTACCTCTGGCTTCTAGAGTATTCCCTTCTCGTGCCTGGCCACATGCACCACTGCAATTTCTTCTGGACTAATTCTTTTTCCCTAGAAGAGACTAACCCTTGTTCCTTCCATATTTTCTCAAAAATGTGACCCAGCCCAAAGGCATACTTGGAATCTGTGTATATTGTTCCATTCTCCCCTTCCAATAGTTCTAGGGCCCATTTCAATTCCCCTGATTGCCCAGGATCTGTACCCTTTTCCCATTGCTTTGGTACTTTAGGGTGCACATGCTTTCACGACCGGTTAGCCTATCACAAACTTGATTCACATTTTTCACCTTTTAAGGAGTTGTTTTTTTAAGCTACATAGCCCTGCTCATGTCATCGACATACAAAATGGCTGAAGCAAATCAATCCCTGAGTTCATCTCTCACCCAGTGTTTCCGAACATTTCTGGATAGTAAGCAAGGACCTTTTAAAGAATGTGATGAGTCAGATACCAGAAGCAAAGCCTAAAGAGCCTAAAGCTGTTTCAAGGAAGCTTAGAAAACATACATACTGCTAAGCGAGAAACCGCCAGCCTTTCCTTCCTTTTATCTGATATTCAAGCTGTTGCTTTTTTCTGCGTGGTACTTGGGGAACCACAGTCTTACCAATAGGTTACAAAAAGGTGAAGGCTTACTGCTTCAATAATGACCTTGGTATGAAATGCTATAGATTATTTCCTCAGGGCACAGCTCTTATCAGCAATAATCCCAGGTGTCAGAAGAGATGGAGTGATTCTAGTGACTCACGTGGGATGTCTCAGTGGAGTCTGTAGCATGGATATTCTCTGAAACCTGCACGTAACAACATGTGTACACTTCGTTTTAGTACTCACAAAGCCCTTAAGGATATGACAAACTTCTGTTTCATTTTCTCTTTCTGAAAATTATAAATAATTCATAGGCCTTTGCACAGGTGAGTTTTCTTCTCTAGGTGCAAACCGCCAAACCTCCCAGCCTTCCCAACAGCCCCAAGGTGAAGCCCTTCTCTGCCTGATGCTGCCACAGTGCCACCCAGTGCTGCCTGCCACTGCTGCAGCCAGCAGCCGGCAACAGGCGGTCAACTCGCCCGCTGTCTCTCCGTGGGTCTCAGTCACCCCCCTCTTACCCCCCTCTTGTTGCAGACGCAAAACCAGCTTGCAGACTGGCCACAAGCCTTTCCTAAGCAGAAGCCGTTTTGTTGGCACTAGCTGGTTCTACTTAATCTAGTCAAAACTCATTACTGTGTATACTCAGAAATTATTTTCGGCTGTTTCTAAAAGACCTCATTAAAATTCAACCAGCATTAATAAACATCCAGTTCAGACAAATTGCTGCGAAAACTGCTGTATTGAAAATTTTCAGCTCCTTTCAATAGTACATCAGCTTCTTCACTCCAACATATGGATACGCAGCCATCCTACACACTTGTTATTGGTCCTGGAGTAGGCCTTAGTATATTATTCCCATACAGCCATATCACCAATTTTAGCACAAATAGGAATGAGAGCAAGGAATGAACATGTATTACAAACCTTCTACCTCCAGGATAGAGCTACAGCTACCTAGATAACACAAGGGCTGGTTTTTTCCACTCCTATAGATCGGCAGCTTTCTGGATCTCATAATCTAGGTAAAAACCCCTTGGAGGTAAGAAGCGTTAACAAGTTTAAGTTAACGTGGGCAAATGATGGGAGTTACAGGCCAACTGCGAAACATGCACAGCAAAGATGATCTGAACAATAACTGCTCTGTGTGGAGTGGACCAGCAAACCAATGCTGACTGAGTCAAAGCAGTTTCATCAGAACACAATTCCATAGGAATTCTGGCTGCGTAGATGGTGGAGGGAGATGCTGATGAAGCAAGTGCCCATCCAGGACAATCACTGCTGCGAGTTCTGTTGTAGCATGTTTTGCAGGGTTTTGTGGTTTTGCAGAGCGGCTAACACGTCCTCGTAGAGAGTGTTCACGCTGATGCACAGAGGTTGACGTTGCAGCTCTGTTAGCTTGCAGGCGGCCAAAGTACAGAGGACGCACAGCAGCACAACGAGCAGGACCCGCAGCACCGACCGCGACCAGGAGTGCTTGTGCCGGGGCGGCTGAGGGGGACGAGAACCGGAGGCGGGCTCTGTAACGAGAACATTTACAAGACAGAGACCGTGAGAAATTAAATATCTTTAAGAATCTATATTCAGAAACAAGCTGTTCAGGTAAGATACTTTAGCCTCTGCTGCAGTCGCTTTTTTTGACGTTATTTCATGATGAATGAATTTTCATCATGATGAATTTTCATCAGTTAATTCTGGTTAATATATAGACACACAGGATCTACCCGTTGAGGATGAAAAGTTTCATATTTAGTTTCATGGGCAGCGGTGTAAAGTGCCTCTGTGTTGCAAAAGATCAGGTTTTGCACATATAGTTCAGTACATTTAAAAAGAAATGTGTGGAGGGAAGTTCTCCTTAGGAACAGCTGAAGAACTTGTAGCTCAGCAGCTCATTGGGAACACAGATGAAGGGGAAAAGGGCACAGCAGCTGAGATTATTAGAAGTCCTACAGGTTTCCCCCCCACTCCCACCATCTCCCAGTACCTGGGCTGCATAAAAGCCAATCTGGCACCATCACAATGTGATGAAGGTGAAATCTGATGCAATCCCACCCAAAATGCGTACTACTTACTTCGTGTCTGCACAGTTTCTTTTTTAGTTTTCTTTTCCATCTCCTGTTTTGCAGCTTTCTGAGCATCATACTCCCGTCTTCTGCGTTCCTTTTCTTCTGCTTTCTCTCGCTTCCTCAGTTCCCTCTCCTGAGCCTCCTTTGCTCGCTGTTCTGCTTCACGCTTCTTCTCCATTTCTGGGGATTAACAGGAAGTTTTTTTCCTTTTATTTAAAGGGTTGTCATTGCCTTCTTCCTTATTACCTGCTTATCTGTTCCCAATTGGAATGAGGAAACAAATCAAATAACTATCCTCCTTTTTTATCGCTGGTTTTCTTTTTTTTATTTAATATTGCATACCTTGCATTTTGCTCCCTCAAAATTAGGCTTCCCTTAAAATAAATCCTGTGCTCTTCTTTCATATTTTTATAGAAAACCTATAGTGTATTCCATCTAAAGAGATATTATTCAGGCAAGAAATGACAGAGTTGTCATCCTTGGCTGTCTTTCTCCCTCCAGCTCTTCTACCCTACTACTCGCAGAGTCCTCAGGATTTTGACAGTCACAAGTATGAGATAGATGGCAATCAGTACGTCTGGGCATGTAGGAGAGATCAAGAACAGTCCTCAGCAGAGAGCATGTAAGGACTGTGTGCTTACCTCGCTCTGCTTGGAGCTTCCGCTGCCGTTGTCGATCCTGCTCAGACTGGATCGCTTTCATGTGCTGCAGTACCTTCAAGGTCCAAGAAAACAACCTGAGGTCTCTGCAGAAGGCTCATTGCACAGTCCGTTCAAACGCAAACAGCTGGGGCACAGCTGGGGACAGTCAGCCAGGGCTGACCACCCACCCTGACTTACCCCTGCGGGATGGCTCTAAAGAGAGCTCACGCCTCCCCACGTCAATCTTTGCAGTTAAGCAATAGATCTTTCCATTAAAAACCAAACCTGCCAAATGCATGATAGCCGATACAGAGGATCGCAGAACACTTATATTTATGTGAGCCTATAGTTTGCCAGAACATCTGTGATTTTTGTACTCTGGACTGTAAGCCTAGACATGGATTATATTGTCTGATTATGCCTCCACTTTCTTGGCAGCCAGCATTTAGTCCTCTCTTAACTCCACTAATGGAAGAGAATTCTACTCAGCCCAGTGTTTGCTCTCTCCAGCCACAGAAGTGGTGAAGTCAGTGGGGTGAACACGCACCTCACTGGCTGAAGAAACTTCACACTGCTGCAGCAGCTGCCCAGCTTGCTAAGCAAAAAGAGGAAAAACCACCCCCGACAAAGCGAAGTAAGGAAAAAAGGAATAACAGCAGATTCCTTACCTTGACAGCAGCCTGTTTACACTGCTTCTCATCCAGACAGTCTCCTGCTACTTTAGCTAGGACAGGATCCAGGGGATTGTCCTTCAGATCCAGCCACTTCAGGTTCTGCAGAAAAGAACGATAAAGCGCAGGCTGTAAGAGCACAGTAGTCTTGCGATTATTTACAGGTCCAAAGGAGAAGCAAAGAACTACTTAGTTTCCACATGAATGAAACAGGTAGGGAAAACAAGCAGAGAGCTTGAGCAGAGACATTTTCAATAGATGTGAGAGAATTTCCTCTGAGCTGCGGTGCAGAGCCAGCTGAATTTTGGAATGGGTAGTCAGCAGGAGGGATGCTTTACCGGAGAAATCAACTTGAGAAGGATCACAAGACCCTGGGCTGCATCCCAAAGCTTTACGTAACTGCCCAGCAAACAGTTTTACCTTGAGCTGTGCAAAGCTGACTGGCAGGGTGACTAAACGGTTGTTCAGAAGGTCCAGGTGCTGCAGATTGACCAGGCGGCCAAAGTCCAAGGGCAGCTGTTGAAGCCGATTTTTACTCAAATCCAGTTTCACCAGGTGCATCAAACTGCAGAAGTCTGACTAAAACCCAAACACAGACAAAACCCAAAGTTTGTCAGCACCTTTATGAAGGAACCTCAGCAAGGAGTATGTGGAGATAGCCTGTGCCTTACATATGCCACGAATCCTTAACTTACTACAGAACTGCAATGGAGGAAAATCACCCGTCTCCTTTCCTCAGAAGAGAGGGGTAGAAAACGGTGGGGCAGATAAGACAGACAGACTGACAAGGTGATGTATGGCAGTACAACTGAAACAAACCCGCTCCTCCACTGCTGATGAAACTGGTCTGTATTCACGTGGGGATCCTCCGGCAGGAAGATGCTGCAATCTTCACGCAGTGCAAACCTTTTCTCTCTCCTGCCTCAGCCAAACCTGCCACCAGCGCTGGCCCGTCCCG